CGCAACAGTTCTTAGCGGCTTTTTTGACCTATATCTTCCTCGCAGTTTGCACAAAGTTTGTTGCAATGGCGACAAGAATCCAGGAGCAGTTAGCCGCAAAAGAAAGTCCTTTTTTTGAGGTTGCAGAAAGAAGAAGACAAGGGAAAAAGCAGCGAAGCCAAACTAAGGTGATTCTTAGAGATTCATTCCAGCGATAACGCAACTGAAGCAGACGCAGGGTCTAAAGACTGACGCATTGGTCGACAAATTACTCCTGGACAGGTCACTTCTGCTTATTATTAAAACTTACTTTATTTCCAAGAGCTAGACAAACGTTTTTCAGGACACAAATGCGATATCCTATGCCTGAAAACGTAATTTTCAATGCAAAGAAAGAGGCCGCTTGCTGCTGCGTGTTGTAGCTAGTTCATTCGCATGGCATCTCCACGCACCCTTCTCTGCACCGCTCCCCTCTCCTCTCCCTGCTCCCCGTTCCGTTCTTCTCCCTGCTCCTCACTTCTTCTCCGGGCACGGAATCTCCGCACACCCCCTCCCCCCGCTCCTCACTTCTCCGCTTTGCCTAACCAACACTGTAGTTAGTTTTTTACAAGTCATGTGCAGCGATGAGGACTTGTTTTCTAGAAACAAACCTGTTTCTGGCGTAAGGAGGAGGCGGGAGGAGGCGTTTCTACATATGGAGCTGTGGGGCAGGGGGGGTGGTTTCACGCATGCGCAACATTTGAAAAACGACAGTCACTGGATTTCTCATTCCTTGGAAAATCCTCTATACAACCTTTAACAGTCCTAAACACAAAATTGACTCTTCTGAGCTTTAACCCCTGTTACGATGTTGTTAACTGTTGTTAATGTTGTTTTGTTTCATCCACACGTGTGAGCAACCCTGAATTATAAGCCTGTCTACATCTTCAAAGCTCAAAATGCTCTTTTCCACCTTGTGATGTCATGAAGTGGTAGTTTTCAAGTTAACAGCTACATTTTACCTTTAGTTCAGTAGAGACTGGAGAATTCAGGGGCTGAAATTATCCAAATGATTCGAAAGAAGGTGTATGGAGTTTAAAAACACAGTGGAGCTGTACCTGTATTACCATATGACACCACAAAGTAGAACACAGTGTTTTCGATTTGAAAGAAAAACTCCTAAGCCTAAATATGCAGGATTTGTGTGTTAAACATGTGTGAATGAAACAAAACACATCTCCAGGTATGTTTGTAATGTGGAAACAACATTATAACAGATCAATAACTGTATGAGTAATATGGACCCTTTAAGGTTAGGATCAGTCTCTAGGAAATTAATATCAACATAATATCAAAGTCAATGCAACGTTCCCCACAAAGAAACCAGAAATGTGTGTGTGTATGATCAACTGGTGTCCCCATAGGAGCCATCTTTGTGTAACCCATCTGCTACTGTGCTGTTGAATCGAATCATGAATTAACTCAAAGTATATTTATCGGCTTTGAACAGTGTCGGAGAACAGGAACAATGGCGTCTCACATGTGGTGGGGAGAAAGCCCTGGTGATCTCTCAGACTTCAGAATGAATTAGTAGTGATTAACCATTGTAGTAAGAGCCACACTAGAGACAGCATGTCGCCTTGTGTTTCCTGGGCTGCAATTTAATTCAAGAGTGCACTTGCGTTCATGGGCACGCACAATTTACAAGCCATTAAGAAGCCAATAGCAATACAGGTGAACGAAAAAATGATTCTACCTCAAAGAAAAAGTGAGGATAAAGTCAAAACATTGCCCATTTCATAATAACAAATCTCTTTTAATTCAAATATGTCACATAAATATACAAATGACCTCAAAGATTCACCCATTTCGTAACAAGGACTTAAGTCTACAACTGACATGAAAAATTTATCAAAATCTGGTCACTTCAACAGTGCCAAGGAACAACTTCAAATGGGAACTTTGAGTGCAAGCCAACATCTAAGTCAATTATTCTTCTTTGCAGACTTACTGTTGTTGATGTAGAAAGTGGCTGGCACATGTTTAACTATGGGCTTTAAGCGGTGTACACTCATAGCATACAGGTACACTGGCAGATAAATAAGATTGCATTCGTTTCATATTTTTTCACTAGCAACAAGTGGGCAGTGTCATCTAAAATTACACTTTAATTAACTGATAATTAATCTGTTGGGGAACGTAACAAAGAAGTTAAGTACTGTACTTAAGTATACTGGTACATTTTAAGTATCTGTACTTTACTTAAGTGCATTTTAAAGTGGATACTTTTTACTTTTATTTCACTACATTTGAGAGCAGGTATCTGTACTTTCTACTCAACTACATTTTTGAACAGGACTGAAAAGTGAAAGTATTTTTAGTTTGAGGCCAGCTGAAAAGGCTTGGGGTTTATTTTAAGACATTTCATATGGACCATATGATATGAGAGAAATATGTATTATATAATTTTTGGCACATTCAATTTACCTATTTCTGCATAAAAAACAAGCCACTACAGTATGCTATGTGGCTAGCATGTGAATTAAAAAATGTGAAAAACTATTAAAAAAATTAATAAGTACTAATTAAAGGCCAATGCACTTTTTTTTTCTTTTTTCTTTTTAAATAATGCAAGTATAAAGGGTAAAAGCTGGAGGTGCTTTAGCACTGTTGACACCTGGCCCCCTGCTCTGCTCCTCCTCCACTATGGCTGCTCCTTTTGGGCAGTTCAGAAGACAGTTTTTGCACCTTAACGGACAGTTTTTCATTTTCTTTGTTAGATAGATCTCCACCAACATCAATACAAGTGGTTTGAGTGTCCATTATAGGTGCTTTGAGTTTTTTTTTTCATCTTCTCATGAACTTTATTGGTGTTGACCAAAATGACGAGGCTCACTGCAGCAGTTAAAGAAGCCAAGGAGTTGCAAGAGCCGCCATGTCCAGCTGGACATTGTCTCTCACTGTATTGTTATGCATTGTACGCACTAACTTGCTTTTCCAGCTCTTTGTCTTTCTTCTGGAGAGCTTGAGCTCTTTCAACTACAAGTCTTTTTCATTAGTCATTTTTGGTGATTCATTAGTGACTTTTTTTGTGATGTCAAGCTCTTGTTTTAGATGCACATTTCCTTAGGATTTCCTTATGAGTGTTAACTTGGTCTTGTAGTTTCTTGTCCTTCTTCTGAAGAGTATCAGTGAGTTTATGCAACTCCAAGTCTTTTTCATTTGCTTTTTCCATGACTTCTTTGGAGTCAGCAAGCTCTTGTTTTAGTTGCACATTTTCCTTTGTCCCCCTTCTGAAGAGTAGCAGTGAACTTCAAGGCCTTTTTGACCATCTTCTCAGTTTTACGCTTGCAGTCCAAAACAAAGCTTCTTTAGACCTGTTCTGCAAACTTGGCCCTTGACCGCTCCAACTCTTCGCTCAAATTCTTGACCAGAGCTCTGTCCTCCAGGGATGGAAGTTCCTGGACGAGACTTCTTTCCTCAGGAATTGAGGAGTCCTGGACACCAATTGAGAGACACCAATTGTCCTCTGGTTCTTAAATGCCCCTTTTATTATGGGGCTGAGCAGAGCCTCCAGGTCAAAGTTCTCATCGTAGAGGTGGGCGTCATCTTCTGATGTATGTAGGTACTCAACCTTTGAGTAGATATTCATACTTCTTTCCACATCTACTGTAGCCTTAGTTAATTAGGCTGCTCCTCTGGCTTTGACAGTCACTCCCGCTTGTTTCTGAAGGGAAGGGGCAGAATTGTGTTATGCGTTTTATCGGTGGGCCAATATGAATAGAAATTTGAAATTGTCTCGTGGGCCAGTAAATGATCTTACGTCTATGCGATCTCTGCACTAAAGCAGGGTTAAAATACAAATACCTAAAGAACAGAAAATACGTATTATGTTTAACAACAAGCTTCTTAAATCACCAACGACAATTCTCCATAGTGCTACTCCCACAAAATACATCTTGTGTATAAATATAGTCATTTGTAATGCTTTGTTATTCCTGAATGTGATTAAAATTCACTCCTATTGCACCCTGCTTTGATATACTGCACTTTAATCCATTGCTTAACCAGATGAGTAAGAGTCTTTCTCACACCCCATACTGCCTGCAACAATAAATAAGGTCCCACCATTTTAACCTGCAGCTTTATAGCCACATTCAAACTCGTCTGCCATTTCCTGATAAGAATAAACAGCGTACCAACAGTTCATAGCTCCATAGTTCGAATGCCGCTGGCTTGTATCTGCTGTAGCATACCAGACACATTCAATTATACACCATAGCTTTGTCGATAAGAGTAATTTTATGGTCTGTTATTCTGTCATCCCTGTTTTGAATACTCTTATTTATACCATGGTCTTATACATTTACAAGAAACACATCATCCATCTTTGCTTGGTGTGGGAAACGCTTTCTGAGGGCTCATCAATATTTGAGAGAAATAAATTGTACAGTGCATATAGACGTAAAATCTAATTGTGATAGAATACTGAAACCAATGAAGACAATACAAAACACATGCAATTGATAACTTGTGCTAGTTCCAAGCAAGATAAAATATTGGTCATGATAAAGGGATTCCTATGAAGCACACTTACATTGTAACATAAAGGCTATATAATGCTTAAACTAATACATGAGTTCATTTACATGGCCAGACAAAACAGACATCTAGAATAATCAGGATAGCCTAATAATTAGATCCAGTTGTTGTTGTTTGTTTACGTGCACAAAAGAAATCTGATCATGTATTTTTAGTGTAACCACCGTATTTAGTAGACGAAGTTGTTAACATTTTGTCTTTCATTTTTATCTTTGTCACATTAGTTTTTATTTTTGCATATTTCCTTGTCAAAACCTTCACAGAAGTGAACAATCTCCAAGAAATCAGATTGTAATACTGAACTTGTATTTTCTCAAAGCTGTAGATATACATCCTGCTGCTAACAGTCCTCCTCCCTTCATTAGGCTTCATTATCACAGATAATTTCCCACACATGATCCCAGTGAAGAATGGCCACAGGCGGTGACAGCATGACTCACCCTGATGCCCAGCTCCACATTCTCTCCTCCGTACACCTCCATGCCCTCGTCCAGCAAACCGATCTCTTCAAAGTACAGCCTGTCCACCACGAAGCAGCCAATCAGAGCAGGGCTCCTGGGGGAACAAACATCCAGATCAAGGCTGCTTTGTTGCCTTAGTACTTCCAACAAAAACTTGTGGTAGACACTACAAAACTCTGAAAGCCTGAACACAAGCTTTCAGAAATGGAAATAAAGCATTCTGAAGTGACTGCCGTTGTGCTAAGCTAAACAAAACTACATTTAGTTTAATAATATTTTTAATTTTTTACATTACAATTTTCAAATGGTATCATTAATTCTTCTTACTACCCCCAGCTTAGTGCCCCACAACCCCCCGGTTTATTGAACAGAACAGGGAGAGGAAGAGTGGGGAGAGAATTCAACTCTCTATAACGGGGTGTCAAACTCATTTTGGTCCGGGGGCCGTATCCAGCCTACTTTGATCCTAAAGGGGCCGGATCAGAAAACTCATGACATATAAACCCCAAAAACAGCAATAAGTTAAAATATTTGTGCAGAGAAACGCAAATCTATTTCAGAAATCTTTTTTAATAGATGAACTCTTTCTTTTACAAAATATTATAATATTATGGAAAAAATGCTATATCAACACAATGTTTTAACATTAACTTGAATGCAAACAGGAATAAGTCAATTTTTCTTGGAAAATCCAGCACTCGGCTCAACTTTTCTCATTTTTGACATTTTTCTGATGAGGGTGTCACGGTCAACAGTCAAAACGATCGTTCTTTAAGAGCGTTTGGAAAGAGGCAAGTCTTCATTTGTGCTGCTCTGGTGGGAGGGGCCACGTACAGAGGCATGGGAGACACTGCTATGCTAAGCGGAACAGAAAATAACCAATATTTTAATAGAAAATATGATTAAAATATTTTAGTAGAAAATCAGCTGAGGGCCAGATTAAAGGTCTTGGAGGGCCGGATCTGGCCCCCGGGCCTTATGTTTGACACCTGTGCTCTATAACATAAAGAAGTAGACTAAGGAAGTGTGACTTCACCCGTAGCGTTTGGCTCGAGTCAAATGAAGCTCATGTTGCTAGAGGTTATAGGGGCTAATTTGGAGCCAAGTTCCATATTAGGAATAGGAATTTATTTACAGAAAATAGCAAAATAAAAACACTGGATTATTTAGAGCAGGTTAATATGAAAATTTTCAGACTAAAATGACAAGACTCAATGCAATAGTTAAAGAGAGAGGGGTGACCATTTTTCAATGTAAAGTCAATTGGAAATGATGGACACTAGCACATGTGTTAAATCCTGCAGCACAGTTTTCATATTTATATTTGATGTAAAAATAGAATTGTTATGATATATTTATTTGTTCATATGATCTTACGGTATAGGCGCGCTCTTGTTTCCCTTGTGCCACCAGTTCTTGGGTGGGTTGAGGTAGCGACACCACAGCTCCCAGTCAAAGCCCTGAGCGGACAGCGGATACTCCTCGATCTCAAACGTGTCATACTTGATGTTGTCAAAGGAAGGCGAGATGATGCGCCTCCTGTCTTCTTTAATTCTCTGGAGGATGGGTTCAGCCCTGGGAATACAAGAAGAGAAAAGTAATTTAAGTCATGGGTGCTTTCGCTGGCTGTTTTTGACATTCAATCATCATCTTGTCAACTGCAGCCAAACAGTTTTGATGAATAGAATGTATTATTAGTCAGTAAAACATTATTACCAGGGTGATAGGTGGGATCATTTTTTTTTATTTATTTTGTGTCACAAGGAAGGAAATGAAATGGAAATGGTTTGCACTGCACTAAAAGTATTCTCTTTATCTTTTTAGACTCACAAAAACAGTTATATTTTATTTGTTTCAATGCATATGTTATTAATTCATTCTATTTCTCTTATTATCAGCGTGGATACATGTTTGGATATATCCTGTTGCTATTAAAGGCTTGGTTGGGTAAACATTTATAGTAGCCAAGATAAGCAGGATAAGAGGATCACAGTCCAGGGTCAATAGGGAGGATCTTGAACCATGCTGGCTTTGTTCATTTCACATATATTAAAAAACCACCTACTGCCTCCACTCAATTTCACTTCGCTCCAGCGACTAGGTCAAGAATCAGAATACATTAGACGGTTTACAAGAACCCCGGAAGTTGTAGACCATGTACCGGCCAATCAGCGAAGAGCTGCGAAGCCATGATGTTAAACTCAAGCACCTGTCTGGGTCCCTTTTGTGGTACAACACAACAGTAAAGCGATCGAGATGGATGTAGACCGGGGTGTCAAACTCATTTTGGTCCGGGGGCCGTATCCAACCTACTTTGATCCCAAAGGGGCCAGATCAGAAAACTCATGACATATATAACCCAAAAATAGCAATAAAATTCAAATATTTGTGTAGAGAAACGCAAATCTATTACAGAAATCTTTTTTAATTGATGAACTATTTCTTTTACATAATATTATAATATTATGAACAACTTGAAACTTTAAGAAAAATGCAATTTCAACACAATGTTCTTGCAAATAGGAATAAGTTAATTTTTCATGGAAAATCCTGCACTCGGCATCCACTTTACTCAGTTTTGACATTTTGCTGATGAGGATGTCACAGTCAACAGTCAAAACGACTTAACGTACTTTAAGAGTGTTTGGAAAGAGGCAAGTCTTCATTTGCGCTGCTCTGGTGGGAGGGGCCACGCACAGAGGCGCTGGAGACGCTGCTATGCTAAGCGGCGCAGAAAATTACCAATATTTTAATAGAAAATATAATTAAAATATTTTAGTAGAAAATCAGCCGAGGGCCAGATTAAAGGTCTTAGAGGGCCGGATCCGGCCCCCGGGCCGTATGTTTGACAACCCTGATGTAGATGAAGCCATACCTTCTGTGTTGGCAACAATTCCCGAGATCGAGAATTTTCACTCTCTGCTTTGCTGTTGTGCTGGCAATTACTTGAACACCACTGAGCGTTCTGCGTTTCTTACGTCATGACCAAATAGCAGCAATTGGTTAAATAAAAAAAGTGCCTGCCTACCTCCAAGTGAACAAATTCTAATGCTGTGAGGTCAGACGGTTTCCACGAAGTGAAACTGGCCGATGAATCAGGCTAGTAAAAAAGTGCTGAGAAAAATGTATCAAAATCATATTGATCTTTTTAAATGTATTTTATTTCATTACAAAAAGTTTTCAATATTAAAATCGCGAACTAAATAAACTTGTGAAATCTAAAATGGTCAAATTTATTCATGGAAAGTCTAAATTCAGCTCCAAACCTCAACTGACCTGTTGAGTAAAAAGACCCAAGCACCTCCTTGACGACTAGAGATGACTGAATCTCGATTAAAATGTGATTAATTGTACAGCCTGTAGCCTGGTTAATCTCTTGTTCTGATGTAGTTTCATATTTTTACTGTAGCTCCAATAGTGAAAAGTGCTAAGGATGGTTTTGCAGTTTGCTAGTGAGTCAAGTGTTTTCTACTTTTGCACATCATGTCTTCACACTCACAGTAGGAACAAGAACAAATGTTGCGTCTTTGTTTTTAAAGTCAAATGATGAAGATGGGCCCACGCAGACTGCTATGCCTTGTGCATTATTTAGCCATGGCTGAGCAGCAGAAAGTCTGACTCACCATCCAACGTTGAACTCCACATGGGCATCGAACAGGGCGACCACAGGGGCAGAAGCAGCCCTCCACCCACTCACTCGGGACCGGATCAGCCCCTCCTGCTTCGAGTGCCGCACAATCTTTATAAAACCTGGGCGCTGGCTGTTCGTCTCTGTCACGAAATCCTGTAGCTTCTCCTTCAGCTCATCTGGAACAAATAAATAATATGATGCATTAATTCTATAGGGATATAATATTTTATACAGATAGGAAGCAGTTAAAATTAATATCAATATCGTTAAAACTGGGGAACCTGATTTTTTATTTTTTTTGTAAAAGAATACATTTTGTGTTTTCATTGATGTTGCTGCCACCTATCTGCAGCTAATAATAAACTATTTTTATCTAAAAATAAGCACTGAAATTGGCTTTCACTTCGCCATTTGCACGAGAAGAGATGAGTTAGTCAGATTTAACTACTTACTTCCTCCTTCTGTGGTGTGAAAATCAGGTACTTAAGCTTTAAAATGCAGCTTTTTGTTGCTTTGGAGATAGCGTGAATTCAGTTTGGTAAACACAACTTTACTCTTATCTACCTCACTACTCCACTCATTTCTCCAGCGTTTACCTCCTCCTCAGGCTTACCACCTCACTCTAAATATTCCGACCTGCTGCTCACCGTCTCGGTTTGTGCCACACCCCACCTCCCCCTTCTGGCTTCTCATCATTTCTTCGTCCCGTTCACTCTCTTCGGCCTCACCACTTCCACCTCCAGTGTACCAGCTCCGGGGGGGAAGACATCTCAATGTTTTCTCTCCAGATTGAAATATATTAGTTTTACAGTCTAGTTACTATAAAAGATCAGGATCAACAGTTGTGAATTCGCCTTTTAGATATTTCACAGCAAAGTAAACTGACTTTTGCCTCCCACATGACATCATCACATTCTGAAACTGGAAAACCAAATAAGAGTTTGAGGTGAGAGTGGGAGCACACAGCATCCACCCACGTGATGGTAAGATAGCATCAGGTGGGTGGTGCTTGGAATTGAGCCAAAAGATCCTCACGTCTCACAACTTTGATGAGTGAAGCAAACACGCAGCAGCATTCTCCCCTGGGCCACACTGTTTGTAATATTGAACTTGAAAGATGCAATATCTTTGAAAAGCAGAACACAATTACTAACTCAAATTTGCTCAACATTGAATCACATGTACTATGGTTTATCTGTGAGAAAAAGTATTAATTACACAATACTTTTCACTGCTTCAAATCATGATTATTTCAATTGATTGATTAGAGCTCATATATTTGTATTAGTAATGTTTTATGACACTTGTTTCAAAGCTTTGGTCCTGGTTTTGGAACGTACTTTTATTACCAGAAGGTCTTTAATTGTAATTGTGATCATTTGTAATTGGATAGAGCCATAATTGAAATCTCTATCTAAAAAAACTACATTAATTGCACAGCCCTATATTAAAATATGTGGAAAATAATATGGTAGAAGAGTGTTTTGTGTTTTATAGTGTTAATTTTTTTTTATTGTATGATTTTGTAGTTTGTTTTGGTAAGGTGTCAAAAATATTACACATATCTTATTTTCCTCTCTCTTAACCGGACTTATGTTGTTTCTTTTTGCACTAGTTAGCAGAGGGTTGTAGCAAATAAAAATGTTACTGCAATTCTACGTGATTAATTTTAATTGGACTTAAACATAAGTGTACTAAAAATTTAGTATAGTTGTTGGACACATTACGCATCTGTGCAAGTTTATTCGAATATAAAAACGGACTGTAGCTCAACACATCTCTGAAGACACTGATGAGGCTTTACCCTGAAGAGCGTGCCTGTATTGTACACTGAAACATCTCCTGAACATAGCTGGAAAAATAAAACTTTTATCATTGGAACATTTCATCATCCACCTGAGGCTCTGCTCTTCCTATTTCTGTGGCTTTTGACTTGAAAGTGAATGTGGAGCGGGTTCGGAGTCGTTAGAGAGGCGGTGCATGCTGGGCCAGGCTGCACTGCAGACAGAGAGACGTCTCACACAAAAATAATATACACGCGTCATCCCTAGAAATGTTGGTGCTTCATGATTTGGGGAAAAACGTGATTTTTCTGTGAATATTGCGATTAGATTTGTATTTTCAAAAAATTCAGGGCACATTTGAACATAGAGAAATCAGAAATATTAACTGCTAACTGCTAAGCTAACAGAATCCCTTACATTTCAGGACATTGTTTATACTGTTGTTGTGTCCTACACCCACAATGCCTAGTGCAGATGTTTAAGCTTTTTCATTAGAAATGCTGTTATAATATCAGCTTTTTCCAAGTACATTTGTGCAACATGAACCTGAGTTGACAAACAAGTCCACTGGTGTTTCGTTTGTCAGACTGAACAGACCATTTTGGCTTTATCTTCCCTCCACCCTAAGCTGCTTGGACTGATAGTTCCTGCTGCTACTGTTATACCTGCTACTGCTGAGTGTCTGCTCAATTAAAATGCATTCATCAGTAAAGTCTTATTGGTTCATCTGCAATGAGCCTCTTTTCCTTGATGTTTTTAAAGTCAACAGTTCTCCAGGAGACATTTTACCTCCACTTACAAGGAAGAACTGTCTTGTAACTTCAGATTACACAACATATATATTTTTTTATATAGATTATTTATTAATTTATTTTTGACATTTTCAAACTGCCTTGGTGTGTACTGTATGTGCTCTTGGTTAACACAACAACCTAGATCAGAGAGTACTGCTTATGATTAAACATTTTAAAGTTTTTAGTTAATGTAGCAAATAAATTCATTTTACATTTCACAGATCCAGCCTGATCTCTTAATGCTTAATGCTGCTCCAGCTTAATCACATTATATTTAATGAATGTGTAATTGAGACTTTTAAATGTTTGTGCAAAGAGAAAATGAGAGCGATGATGTGTTATTTCTCACAACAAATGATAATAAAACACAGGTCATTACTCTGCACTGGCTAAAGGCCAACACTCATCTGTTTCACTGGGGACCCCTCTGGCTGCAGCTTTGATAGAAACCAATGGATTCTATGAGCGAGTGACACTCAGAAAGAAAAAAACTGAAAACAAAAAAAATGCTATTCATAAACTGGGCTCATCAGTACAGTGTTTATAATAGAAACAATCCATTGCAATGATTGTCTTTATTATTATTGCATTATTACTTGAGTATTATATTAATGAGTTTATACCAGTGTTTATGAAATATGTAAAATTTGTATATTTCCAAAAAATAGTGCCTAAAATGTAAAGGTTGTACTTTTATCTAACTGAACATGACCACTTATTGAACGTGAGTGCATGACAGGTGTGAGAAATGGTAATTTGTTTGTTTTTCATTTGAGTCCATCTGCTATTCACACGAAGATCTGCTCATGTGTTAGGTTCATGCACAGCTCCACTGAATATAGTAGTCTAAAAACATGTTCACATTACACACAGTGTTATGCAAAACTATTCTCACAAGGTCCTATTTTCCCTTGTATCACTTGATATTCTGACACAGTCTACAATTACTTTGTGTAAAAGCAGACTGTTAAAATGGCTACTCGTAATGTTATTGTACCACTGAATGAATAGGATTAGACTCTACTGACAAACTTAATTCTGTTTTTTTAGAATGTTAGCTTTATGGATTTTATATCTGTTTCTGAAGCAATGTAAAATGTAATGTAATATTTTGGAGAAGTTCATTCATCCTCTGACACCTGTCCAATGAGGAGACCCTTTGTAAAACAATCTCACACAAATGAGTGTTTCTTGGGCCATGGCTTGGGACATTATCCAATTACAGAGGAATCAGCTAGGTCAATTTGCCCTACTCCTCTGATGTCTCACTATTTCTCTTGCATGCTAATGTCTCTTGGAAGTGAAGCCTGGAAGAATAATGTGGACTGCAGATGTCAACAAAGGTTAGTGTTGGACGGTGACCATATCGGGATGTTGTGGCCATAATAGGTCAGTGAGCTAATAGCATTTTGTGTACCATTTTGGAATTGGGAGGAAGGGCGATAATGATAATGGCGAGCCTATCAGAAACACTGACAGAGTGCTCAAGCAAACAGGGTGAAATGCCAACAGCAAAATGTCAGTGCGTGACTGGGGTCCCTAAAGAAACTGAAGGAAACAGCTCCTTGGCTCAATTAACCGGGTTGAATGGGGCTGGTGATCGCATCTGATAATCCAACCTGGGGCAAGAGCACAAACTTTGCCTAACACTATTTACAGTAGTGAGAAAGATTCTCATACAGATTAGTAAACTGTGAATCAAGAAAGGTAACATTAAAAAAAAATCTACAAAACACAAAGGTACTGTTTAAAGGGGCACTATGTAACTTTTCAAGTGGAGAGTTGACCACCCTCTCGTCTCTATGGAGATGCTTTGTTTGGAAAGTTCCACAGTACTGAACGAGACAGGACTTATGGCACAAAGCCAAGTTATAGCTCAGCTGCCTGTATTGATGCCCCATTCATGTTTTTGTTTTTAATTTAGGCTGCGTTTATATGATGACGGTCTGAAGAGAAGACGCAAAAGTGGTGTTGTGTCTTCACTTTTTATTCTGCGTTTAGACAGGCTTTTTCGGGAGAAAATTTGGGTGCATATGGTGACACAGAAATGTGTGGAATTCGATTGGGTATGGATGCCAGGCGGCTAGGTGGTAACGCTAGGTGGTGATGTATGTGACGTGTGTGTACGTGAGCAGATCTGACTGGAGTTTAGCATCTTGGGCAGTGTAACCGGAAACACTACGGTGGAGCGTATTCTACTTTCCCACTCTGGAGGGTGATTTCAGATTTTTGCATTTTTAAGCCTGTCACCATCCAAAAGAATGGCACTTCCAATAAAATATTTTGTCATTTTTACCCGCAAGCGTTCTTGTGTAAACAAGCTCTGAATAAATAAATAAATAAATAAATAAAAAGATAAATTAAATGTCACATTAAAAGGAATATTTAATCCATGAAGACAAATAGATGATGTACCCTCCAACCAAAAAAGTTACTTAATGCATCTTTAAGACAAAAAAAGTATTTACACTAGTCACTATTTTTATTAATGTAAAAGATTTTAGAGAGTTTTAGTGAATTAGTATCACTGGAATATCTCTCAAATACACATTCCCAAATATAAACAGTGAACTTAACTTAATTCTCCATTAAACTCTTGGTTAGAAATTTCCTCACGTCTCACCAAACTTTTACACAGTATTTAAAATTAACTTAATATTTCTTCATTATGAATCAATAATAGCTGGCGGTAAGTGACCGTTCCTATCTCTCTGTCCTGATAATATATTACATCTATTTTCAAGCAGGGTTTGCATTATTGACTGCAATTTAAATATGGTCTTCTCTTGTCCAGAATTCTCCCATGCTGATCACTCTAATACTCGTCCGATGCCTTGTTACGAGGCACAGCCCTTTAAAGAGTACTATGCCTGTAAATGACCTTGGCACCATATCATTACCTTTTTATAGCCCCTCTTTCTGTCTTAATAATGTAGTTAAATCCTTCCACTGTAAATTACCAAGTCCTCTGTCCACAATTGACTTCCACTGGATTTTGTGATCTCCAACGTCACCACTTACCATTTACCATTTGTACAAGATGCACTTTCTATTCTGTTTACGTCTTAGCCTCCTATGCATACAGATGTTGGCATTACGCTTGGAAATGCAGACGAGATGATATACAAACACTTCATCACCTTGCAGGATCGTTATCTGCCTCCAGGCCAGTGTCCCGGTATTGGAGCTAATTAGTATAACTGTTGGACTATCTGAGCACAACCCCTAATTAAAAACAGTAAAGGGGCAATAACTAGAGTGACTTTTACCTAACATGACCTTACATTGTAAATCAAGACAGAGGATTATACTCAAGGAACAAAGTAGTCCATATTCATTGCATATTTTTATTCTGTCTTTCCCAGTGACTTTAAGCCTTTATGGGGCATGCTTTGAACAGTGGTACTTGGCTAAGGTTATATAGATAATGTATATAGACTAAAGAATGAATTGCATTGCCTAATCAAATAGCCACTTTAGCCATGTATTTGACAAACTGCACACACAACTGGTCACATTTTTATACAGAGCTTTGACTTTACATTAAGGGACCACTCACCCATTCACACACACATTCAAACACCAATGTACACAGACACTGAGGGCACTGATGTTTTATGTCAAGAGGAGGATTCGAACCGCCAACCCTCGAATCAGTGGACAAACACCCTTACCAATTGAGATACTGTCTTCCAATTATAAAAATATCATATTTGTGTAAAAAGGCACACTAAAATCACAATGTATTCCCCCAAATCCATCTAATTTACCCTGTGTCTCCCTTTCACGGTAGTCCCTATAAATCGTTAAACAAATACAAATTCTGGTCAACTATAAATCCTTGGATAAATTAAGTGAGTAAATGACTACAAGCTTACAGATGACGTTTTTTTTTTTTTTTTTGAGTTTACCGTTATTGCTGTTGTCGTCGACCAGGATGATCTCTTTGAGCAGGTGGGAGGGGGTGCGGCTGATGGCAGAGTGGATAGAGCGCAGGATGACTGACAGTGCCTCATTCACAAAGATGAACACAATGCTCACTTGTGGCAGGTTGAATGGATACGAGATGTTTCTGCACCTGTGTGAACAAAGACAAGTCCATTACAATGCGCTCCAATGGCGATTACCATTTAAATGTCAGACTGGTTCTCTAGAATAGGAGCATGTCACCAACTTCTACATAATAAAGATAAAGGTAAGGTGAAAATGAGGAGAATAGATTATCCATTGTAAAGATTTTAGTTAAATCCACTAGGCTACAGTGCCTTAAACTGCTTTCATGCTGGTTCAGACACAATAGTGGTTCCTATCAAAAGAAAATCTGAGCCCTATTTCTCCAGCAAACTCTCACTGAAATGTTTGTAGGCTGTAAAACACTGTTTTGGTGAATGTATACTTTTTTTTAAACTAACTTTTAGTTTGTGTGTCATGTGTAACAATTGGAGATTGATATCAGTGAAAAACAAAACGCTAGGTGAGTTGGTGAATTCCATTGTTTAAACTTTCAAGCATGTTTTTCTGATGGATTACAATTTTTGTCTTCATTTTTATTTTGCTATCAAGAGAATGAAAAATTATACATATTGTGACATACAATTTTGTCAGTTTTTTTCCTTCCCTAGTTCTATGAGTTTGTGAAGGCTTCAATAAGAATACATTAGCTTTACTGTGGCAGGGTTTGACATGAATCACGCTCCTCTCTTTGCCTCCTTTTGAAACAGTGTTGCCTGCCTTCACATGCGCTGACATTTTCACAGTGGAAGAGGTGCATATAGTTGCTTTCCCAAGAGGCACCTGATGTGTTTGTGGGAGAGGCAAAAGCAGACTGTAAATATAAAGAACCGAGCAGCAGAACGCACCACTTTGGCACAGAAGAGGGTGTCTTCAATAGAGATGCTTTTCATTATTATAGTGTCTGCAATAAAATATTCACTGTTCACCTTATTTTTAACAGAGGCACACTAGGTCATCTTTTATGTTGTGTTACAGAAAGAACAGTCAGACCACCTGCAGCTACCGCGAAAGACATCATTTCAATGTACATCTATTAGTGTCCATACCCCATACAAAGTTTGTTGTTGCATAAAGCTTATTTCCTTGTTTCTTTAAGTAATTTAGCACCTCATGTTCTTCTCATATATTTGGTTAGTTCATATGCAACGTGCTGTTATTGATGTGACATTAAATCAAACTTGGGTCTGACACAAATAACACTGGTTCAAGAATATATATGGCTGCAATATTTGAATATGTTAAACAAAACATTTAAAAATATGTTTTTGCTACTTGACTGAACATATAATAATGTACTAATTTTAGGCAACTGTCATACAGTCTGTTTTTGTCACAAAATCACAATGGGAATTAAAGAAGATGGGAATTTAAGAAGACCTTATATTTAGAATATGTGCACATTTCATATCCATATGGTAAAAAGTATCACAAAACATTTCCAATTAACTACGTCAGGTTTAGATCTTCTCTACAGGTTAATTTTGACAGTATAGGTTTTGAGCAAAATAATCCACCAGCCATAACACCAATTTCAGCAACTTAATAATAAGGAATATATTCAAAGATTATCAGATGTTTTACTTTAGTCAACTGTATTTAAGAAGCACTTTGGATGCTCTAATGGTGAATGGGTTGTGTGTGATTAACGGTTGCCCTGAGAGCATCTGGAAGAGTGTGTAGTCCAGGTTTTTAGTGGGAATAGATACTCCAGAGGCAGGTTAACGGCAAGCTGCTGAAAAATGCTTCATAGACGCATTAGTTGTGTAGATGTTCACTCTGCATGCTCCAACATGTCTCCTTGTACAAGTGTGTGTTTAGTAACCTTGTGTTAGAAAACTATCAGGACCAGATGTGGTTTCTCTATCTCTGTGAGTCTGTACTTTGGCCAGACACAGTGCAGATGGGAGGAGCCATTATGTCTCCACCTCCTGCTCCTCCTGCTCACACACACAGAAACACGGCTCTAGTTCCTCATAAAATGAAACTTATGTGTTTACTCTGAGCAGGGAAATGGCGCAGTCAGCAGTAGCACTCGACAGAGAAGCCTTTTCCTGTGCGATCTGTTTGGATCTACTGAAGGATCCAGCCACTCTGACCTGTGGGCACAGCTACTGCATGAACTGCATTCATAATCACTGGGATGAAGAGAAGGAGAAGCAAGAGTACAGCTGCCCTCAGTGTAGGCAGAGCTTCGTCTCCAGGCCTGTCCTGGTCAAAAACACCATGTTGGCACTTTTGGCGGAACAGCTGGAGAAGAGTGGACCTCCTGTGGACATCAGCTCTGTGGTACATACACATGTGTGCTGTGATGTGTGTACTGGGAGCAGGTTAACGGCTGTTAAGTCCTGTCTTCAGTGTCTGGCCTCTTTCTGTGAAAAACATCTGGAGCCTCATTATCAGTCTGCAGCACTCAGGAAACACCAGCTGGTGGTGCCCTCTGACAAACTCCAGGAAAACATCTGCCCTGAACACAATGAAGTGAAGAAGATGTTTTGTCGCAGTGACCAGCAGCTCCTCTGTGTGGTCTGCTGCATGGACAAGCACGCAGGCCACCGCACGGTGTCAGCCGCCGCAGAGAGAGCAGAGAAGCAGGCTGAGCTAGAGGTCAGAGTGGACCAAATCCTCCAAAGGATTCAGAATAAGGAAACAGACCAGGACAGACTCCACCAGGAGGCACTGTCCCTCAGATGTTCTGCTGATGAAGCAGTGAGGGCCAGTGAGGAGATCTTCACCAGGCTTATCCATGTGATGAAGGAGAGACAGGCTGAAGTGGAGCAGCAGATCCGAACCCAGCAGGAAAATGAAGAGGCCAGACTCAAGGAGCATCAGCAGCTGCTGCAGAGTGAAATCAGTGAACTGAAGAAGACACAAGCTCAGCTCAACACGCTGTCTCTCACTCCTGACCACAACCGCTTCATACAGGACTATCCTGAGCTGTCCCCCGCTGAAACTGCCCTCACAGTTCAAAGAGAGCCCCCAGGCTCCTTTGAGCATGTGACACTTGCTCTGTCCACACTCTCTGACCTGCTACAGCACACTGTGAAAGAAGGACTGGACAACATCTCACTGGCTCCAACACACGTCCAGCAACTACCGCCCCAGCCTGAAACACCACTGACCCAGGCCCAGCCTGAAAAATCATTGCCCCAGGTTAAGCTTGAAAGACTGCTGCTAGAGGCCCAGCCTGAGAGACCACTGCCCCCAAATGAGCCCACCACCAGGAAAGGCTTTTTAAAATATGCAAAGGAAATTACTCTAGATTTAAATACAGCTCATCGACAACTGTCCCTGTCAGATGAAAATCGACGAGTAACATTTGACGAAGATGCAAATCTGTATCCCAGAAATCCTAACAGGTTCAACTACTACTATCAGGTCCTAAGCAAACAGCGCCTGACGGGCCGCTGTTACTGGGAGGTGAAGTGGAGCACGTCTGCCACGAAATGGAGTGACTGTGCCATTACCATAGCAGTGAGTTATAATAATATCAAGAGAAAAGACAAATCAGAAGAGTGCAAATTTGGATTCAATGAAAATTCCTGGGCATTATATTGTAACAAGGATGAAGATTATACTTTTTATTTTAACGAAGATGAGACTGAGGTCTGTGGTCCCTTTTCATCCAGAATAGGGGTTTACCTGGACCACAGTGCAGGGGTTCTATCTTTTTACAGCGTTACTACAAGCATGAACCTTCTCTACAGAGTCCAGACCTCATTCACTCAGCCTCTGCATGCTGGAGTCAGGTTTGATGCTAAGGATAATGGTGCCACTGCTTATTTTCCTAAATTGAACTAACCTGTACAGTGAGAGGCAGTGTCATATTGAATTTGTCATTACACTGAGCCTTAATGGAGAGCAATATTTTAGATGCATTATTTTTTTCTGTAATTAAAACATGTATATAGTCTTTTTGATGTAAGAAAAGTCTATCATATTATAAAACTTAACTAATAATAGCATATTGCATGTGTGAAATGTGCTTAATGTAAACACTCTATAATCCTTTACAGCAATAAAATTCACCTCCTGTTCTTTGCTGTCTGACTTGCTCTTGTTTGACTTACTCTTTTAAGTACAGTATCCAATAGCACAAAATGACCTTGTTCCTCATTCTTCACATGTTTCAAACAGACTGCACTGGTTAGGCTGGTTTGCGTTTGTGTTGTGTGTTATCAGAGTAGGTTAGCATACACAAGCACACAACACATATTAAATCAGTGTAGAGTAGATACAGAAGCACCATTCTACCTGAGCCTTACCCATCAGGCCTGAGGTCTGGGATGGGCCTGTCCAGTGAGAGGCGGTCACTGAGGTAGCTGTTGTAGCCGTAGTACTGGAACATCTTCAGTGCCACTCTGCGGTTCTCCGGGCTCAGGTCCTGCCCCCAGTGAGCGAAGAGAGACGAATCCGAGAAAGATGCGTCCCCCTGGCTGTCCTCCACTCTGCCCGGTGTCTCTGTGTACAACAGAAGAGACAACTAATGAGAGGTCTATTTACATAAGCTGACATCTATAAACTTGTCTCTGTGGTCATGCGCATGCTTTGCCTGGTATGTCCCACAGTAAAGCGTTTTCCTCCAGCAAAGTGCATCTTTAAAGTGTCCTAGTTAATAGAGGCACTGTGTTTAATGCACTGCATTATAATGTATGCTATTGCTGTATGAGAGGCGGCAGAATTGTCCTTGGACTAAAAGCAATTCGACTCATATACATTGTGATGAGTCAAAATGTCCTTGAAAGACCATAATTCACTAGTGACTTTTGTTCCTCACATCACAAATAAGAACACACATTATAACTAATTTCACAAAGTATGAAATAAGAATAGGAGAATTGACTCATTTGAAGACCAACAAAATGAAAAAGGAAACAAAAAAGGGCACTTTTTAAAAATAAATGAAATAAAACATTAATAAAATCAAAGGGTAAAGTGAACATTAACTACTGATAACGTTGAGTTGAGAGAGCCTGAAATAGCTTATTACTTGTAATGGTGTGTTATGTGTACCTATTTGCCTAGAGCCTTTTCAACTACTGCTGCTCCCACTACTACTACTGCTGCTAAATTATAACCACCACTTAGCAGAAGAGGGTCAAAAAGGGCTTTATTGAAATTACTGTCTTTTTATGGTAGCTATAACATTTTATCTTTTAAAAAGTATAACACAGTTATGTCACAATAATTATCGACTTAATATACGATAGAACAATATCTTTTCCTGTGCAATAGTGGAGAGATTTTAGCAATTTTTAATGTAATATGATAAGATTTGAGCTGTGGATGGTTGATTAAATAATTTCTATGGCTAATTTTCGGTATTTTCTGCTTTTTATTTGTTGCTGCTCAGGCTTTTAATGACTCTATCTATTCAAAAATTGGTTTACTGGGATTTTTCTGCTTTGTGAAAGTGGCATAAAGTAGTTCCAATATTATCACAGTATTTCTTTGCAGCAATATATCATGCTTCAATATTTAGATGTTTTTTTTTGTTTTTTTCACTTTTATTAATAATATACATTCAATGAAGCAACTGTTCTTTATGCGTACCTCCTGTGCCGGATGATGATATACCCGACATAAAACTTGGCACCTTCTAAAACAGAATCAATTTTTTGCTTCATTTTGTAAGGCCTTGAGAGTGTGCCATAAAAGGCATATGCAAACATTTAGCTAGGTTCTACCCACATGATTGCAGCCTTGGCACTGGAGTGTAGTAGTGCTTCATATAGGCAATAACTGATCTAATCCAATGGAGGGAATTATACAAACCAGCATGAGAGGGGCTCACGCAGTCTAAGTATAGAGGATCATGATGATATTTATGATGGTGAAACATGGAGGTGTGAGTGAGAGACTGCTGCTTAAGCTCAGGAGTGTCATTTTGTGTTCACTTCAGCTGCAAAAGGTTCAGTGACTGTAAGCTAGAGTGATGAGTGGGCCCCAGTGCATTGTGGGAAAAAGATTATTCTCAATATACAGTATATCCTGCTCATTTTGTAACATAAACCATGAATACACGAGGAGGGTACAGATTTATGGGGACATTTGAATTAACAACAGAAGATCAGAAAATCGACAAGAGTTTTGCAAATGAAAATCACTTATATACACCCATGTGATAAAAGCCTGGTTAAAGAGATTTCCAATTGCAATTACAAAAAAAAGTCACTATTTATATTTGCTATTCTGTCTATTACCAAAGACAATAGTGGCAGTTCAGTTCTGTCTGGTTTGCTATGGTTTACGTAATAGCAAGACATCTATGAATTAGAATGTGGAGGAAAGTGAAAAGTCATAACAATTATTAGAAGAAAAAATGTGGCAGGTGCAGATTAAATTTCACTGGAATGTAAGCAGGAGCACAGGAGCAGGTGCACTATCATCTGAGATCCATGCAAACCAGCCCAACTCACTCAAACTCAATCATCTGTTTATAAAAAGGTGCTACGTTTAACAATTCTATAGTATATGCAGTATATTTTTGTCCTCATATGTCCTAATTTACAATATGAGAGATTAAATGGGACATAATGAACTTTTATGAAGCGTTAATCCTGTTATAACAATTCCCTTATCATTAGTTTACCCAAAATAGTATTTTGAAGTAATCCTATATTGGCCCGCATTCAAGATTTGAACAATAAATCCAAATAAAGTGGTCTGCGTGCGTAACCTAAAAGAGAGGCATTTAAAACATTTCAAAAACGCTACAAAACCCATAGTAATAAGAAAAATGAAAATCTTTCCAAATACTTTGTACATTCAGTAAGAAGACAGTGAACTATTTGGCACAAGCTTGAGGCAACAGAACTTCAACAGCATCATGGACTGCAAGGCTAATTTCTCTATGAGACAAAAGCAAGAACAGAACAGAGTCTTGTATAAAAGACTTGAAGGCTCCTTAAGGCCTCGTCACTTCAGTGTTTGTAATGGGCATTAATTAGGCCTATGAAGATGGTTTTCCTCAGCCCTCAAGTATTCAGACAGACTTTTCAATTGCTACTACTACTACTATCAGTGAACTGGTAAAGCTGCTACAATTACTATACAGGAACATATCTGATCACTTTGTGTTGGGGATAGGCTTTAATTAGGTTTACAAATAATCTTTCATCTAGAAGTAAAGGGGGAAAAAGTAGAGTCAAGAGTTTACATTATTAATACTGCTACTATATACTTTTTACCCCTAAGATGTTATTGCTATGTATTGCTAGTACTGCTACTACTTAGAACTACAATCACAGATAACTAAGAATAAAATGATTGTAAAAATTTGAATGCACATTATATCATCTATCACTTTTATTACAAGCCCATGTCTTTTTTTTGGTTTTTTTTTTGTTTGTTGCTCTTTTTTTAATTATACATGACAAAAAGAAGCATTTACAAAACAAAACAAAACCCCCCACAAATCCCTCTCTCCAGACACAAAATTACACAACATAACATAACATAACAATACAAACATTAACCGTCAAGTCCAATCCTGTCAAGATATCTAAAAAAAAGGTGTCACTAGCCCAAAAGCTTTATTAGATAGGAGAGTAGAGAGGTTCAAATGGGGAGAGAGGAGTTAGAGACTTTCGACAAAATGGTTAGGGACTAAACCACTAACTTCAACTACTATCTAAGAGGACAAAAGATGAATTCATTAATTATGATTTTACCATTTAAAAGCCTTATCAAGCACTTATATCTATTAAGCACCTGTCAGGACAAACAGTGGGAAGGGAAAAATGAAAAACCTTGTATTGTCACTGTAATTTAAGCTCTGATGGAGACTACTAACAGGCACACACATTTTTATTAGTAACATGCATTCAATGAAGCAATTCTGTTTTTCCACTGTTCTTTATGCGTACCTCCTGTGCCGAATGATGATACACCCAACATAAAACTTGGCACCTTCTAAAACAGAATCAATTTTTTGCTTTTTATGCTCTGACGGAGACTACTAACAGGCACTGCATAGCACAGACGTTATGACAAAATGTAACCTTGGTGTTTTGAAAGTGCATTCCCAAGAGTCTACAGTCTGTCTGCTCACCTTGTTGCTAACTCCACGAGGCAACAGCAAATACCAGAGGTCAGAGGCGGTCATATGGATGTTTGTGTGCATAGACATGGTAGATAGACAAACACTTCAGCCATCTTTCTGTTAAAGGGCCCACACTGTATTCTGATTTACTGTATGTTATAATGTTGTTTCCTCATCAAAAACATCCATGGAGTTGTGTTTTCTTTCATTCACATTTAACACACAAATGTCTGTTCCACCTTGTGATGCCATGTGGTAATACAGCAGTGTTTCTGTTCTGATTATTTTCTGTCACGCCCCCCCAGGAAGAAGAAAACATTTCGTGCCCCCCCACTCGAAAGAACCACTACCAAACATGCTCCTGTGTCCTCCTTGTCTTTAAAGATCATGTCCGTGTTATAGTTCAGGACACTTATGTTATCGAGCATGACAGAAACCATGTGTAATGCTGCAGGCAGTATCAGCTCCTCTGCTATTTGGTACGCCACCTTATATGATATCTAACAGTGCTCGCTGATTTACTGAAGCAGCATTCACAAGGGGGGACGATTGTTGGTAATATTCTGTAAAACTCAAGTGGTTTATCAGTGTAATTGGAGTGTAATGTCTTTAAACGACTACGTAATTTATTTGGCTTCATGCTGTCCATTGCCAACATTTTTAAACACAGTAAACACAGCGGTCTTTGCTCGTTTCCCACCGTAGTCACAGTGAAGCCGAGCGCTACATACGCTTTATATACAGTTTGTTCTCTGCACATCATATCACCTGCTCTGTGCTGTGTGTGCGTTTGCTCAGTGCAGAAAACCCGGCATATATTGCTAATACTCCCAGGGCACACTCTGACAATGAGAGCATCACTGCCAACTGCTGTAGTGGATGTGCAATTACACTTTATTCTAGTTCCTCGAGGTCACACACGCCCGCACTAGCAACGCATCGGAGCGCGCCCCACTATTTGAGAAGGACTGTAATAAAGGAAGTGCCTTGATGTGTTTTTTAAACTCCACACACCTTCACTAGAATCATTTGGATAATTTCAGCACTTGAATTGCCATTTCTATTGAACTAAAGGTTACATGTAGCTGTTAACTTGAAAACTACCACTACATGACATTGGTGGAACAGAGCGTGTTGAGCTTTTGGAGATTTGTGGATAGAAACACACAAACATGTGTGACTGAAATAAAACACATCTACAGGTATGTTTTTGATTAGATAACAATATTATAACATGGCTTCAAACTCAAAAGCTCACAAAACAAGCTTCTTAAATCAATCACTTGACCATCAAGACTCAACACCACAAGAAAAAAAATAAATCAATGATGAAAAATTGCTCATTGTCAGAAAGGAGCAAAACAGCCTTAAATTCTTGCTTTTCTAGTTTTTTAAAGGTTATTTAAGACCAGATCAA